GGGGGATTGTTTAGCTTCTATAATTGCAACATTGTTTCTTAGACTGCAGCTCAGAGGCTGGCAGTGGCAGGCAGGGAACCTTGGCTTCCTCCATCACTGGAGCAAGCAAGCCTCCTGTTCGCTTCAGCTGCCTGGCTGCCGGCCGCCATCTTGGTTGGCAGTTAATTTGCATATCACCCTGATTAGCCAATGGGAAGCGTGTCAGAGGTATGGTTAATTACCATGTTTGTCTATTATTAGATAGGATAGCATCTTCTTATATCATAATAGAATGAAATTAGAAATCAACTACAGTAAAAACATTCAAACACATGAAGTTTAAATAGCATGTTTCTAAACAATGAATGGGTTACCAATAAGGTCAAGAAAGAAATAAGAAACGTTTTGAAAACAAATGAAAATGAACACACAACAACCAGCATCTCTAGGAGACAACAAAAGCAATACTGAGAGGGAAGTCCATAGCACTACAGGCCAAACTAAAAAAAAAAAAAAACTACTTAACCCTACAACTTAAAGAATTAGAAAGAGTAAAACAAGAAAAGTCCAGAGTAAGTAGAAGGAAGGAAATAATAAAGATAAGAAAAGAGCCCTGCCCTGACCGGTTTGTCTCAGTGGATAGAGCATCGGCCTGCAGACTCAAGGGTCCCAGGTTCGATTCCGGTCAAGGGCATGTACCTTGGTTGCAGGCACATACCCAGTGGGGAGTGTGCAGGAGGCAGCTGATCGATGTTTCTCTCTCATCGATGTTTCTAACTCTCTATCCCTTTCCCTTCCTCTCCGTAAAAAAATCAATAAAATATATTTTAAAAAAAGAAAGAAAAGAAAAGAGCCCAGTAGGCTTGGCTCAGTGGTTGAGTGTTGACCTATGAGCCAGGAGGTCACAGTTCTATTCCTAGTCAGGGCACATACCTGGGTTTCGGGCTTGATCCCTGGTGTGGGGTGTGTGGAAGGCAACCTATCAATGATTCTCTCTCATCATTGATATTTCTATCTCTCTCTACTTCTCTCTCCCTCTCTGGAATCAATAAAAATATTTTTTTTTAAAAAAAAGATTAGAGAAGATAAGGTAGTGAAGACTGGGAGGGGGTTGCTAGGGGCTGGGAATAGAGGGGTGAAAGGGTGGAAATGGGAGAGATCTGTAGTACTATCAACAATATTTTTTAAAAGATGACAGCAGAAATAAATGACATAAAGACTAAAAAACCAATACAAAAGCACCAATGAAACCAAGATCTGGTTCTTTGAAAAGATAAACAAGATTGATGAACAAGCCAGACTCATCAAGAAACAAAGAGAGAGGACCCATATAAATAAAATAAGAATGAAAAACAGTGAAGTAACAACTGACATGTCAGAAATACAAAGGATTGTAATAAAATACTATGAACTACTATATATCGACAAGCTGGACAGTGTGGATGAAATGAAAAAATCCTAGAAAAATACAATCTTTCAAAACTGAATCAGGAAGAACCAGATAACCTCAATAGGCCAATAACAACTGATGGAAATGAAGCAGTAACCAAAAAACTCCCAGCAAACAAAAGCCCTAGCCCAGACAGCTTCACAGGGGAGTATTAGCAAAAACACTCAAAGAAGAGCTAACACTTATACAGACAGTCCTCGGGTTACGTTGGACTCAACGTACATCATTTTGTGGTTATGTCGCCATCTCCCATTTATTTATTTTAAAAAAAAGGTCCGTCATTTCGACGTATGTACATATATGCTTTATGTTTTTTATTTATTTACCACAAGTAAAGGTCAGGAATTGTTATCTTTTAAACTTTTTTTACTGTTTCACTTCATTACTGCTGTGTATGTGGCTCCATGTGAGTGACTTAGGTACTTATGTAAGTGGGTTCTGACTTACGGCGAAAATCGTGTTACGTGGCGCCGTAGGTACGGATCTCCGGCGTAACCCGAGGACCTACTGTACTCCTTAAAATATTCCAAACACCAAGAGGAAGGAACACCTCCAAGCTCTTTCTGTGATGCCAGCATTATCCTGATTGCAAAACCAGATAAAGACACTAAAAAGAAAGAGAATGACAGGCCAATATCCCTGATGAACATAGATACTAAAATCTTCAACTAAATATTAGCAAACTGAATCCAGCAATATATTAAAAGATCATACACCATGAAGAAGTGGGATTCATTCTGGAGATGCAAGGTTGTTACAATATTCGCAAATCAATAAACATGATATATCCCATAAACAAACTGAAAGAAAAAAAATCATATGATCATATCAATAGATGCAGAAAAGCATTCAACTAAATCCAACACCCTTTTTTGATAAAAACTCTCAGCTAAGTGGAAATAGAGGGATCATACCTCAACATAAAAAGGCCTTATATGACAAACCTGTAGCCAACATCATAGTCAATGAGCAAAAACTAAAACCACTTCCTCTAAAAACAGGAACAAGAAAGGTATATCCACTTTCACCACTCTTATTCAAAATAGTACTAGAAGTCCTAGTCAAAGCCATCAGACAAAAAAAAAAAGAAAAACAAAGGCATCCAAATGGGAAAGGTGTATGTAAAACTGTTATTATTTGCAGATGACATGATATTGTACATAAAAACCCTAAAGACTCCATCAAAAAAAACTACTAGATTTAATGAATGAATTTGGCAATGTAACAGGATACAAAATTAACACCCAGAAATATAAGGCATTTTTATACACCAATAACAAATTCTCAGAAAGAGAAACTAAAAAAATAATCCCATTTACCACTGCAACAAAAAAATTAACATAGCTAGGAATAAACTTCACGAAGGAGGTAAAAGACTTGTTCTCTGAAAATTACAGGACGTTGAAAAAGAGATAGAAGAAGATATAAATAAGTGGAAGAATATACCGTGTTCGTGGATTGGTAGAGATAACATCATTAAAATCTCCATACTACACAAAGCAATCTATAGACTCAAGGGAATCCCCATCAAAATACCAACGGCATATTTCAGAGATCTAGAATAAACATTCCAAAAATTTATGTGGAACCAAAGAAGACCCCAAATAGCCACAGCAATCTTGAGAAAGAGGAACAAAGTGGGAGAGATCACAATACCAGATATCAAGTTAGACTACAAAGCCACTGTGATCAAAACAGCCCAGTATTGGCACAAGAACAGGCATATAGATCAATGGGACAGAATAGAGAACCCAGAGATCGACCCAAGCCATTACACTCAATTATTATTTGACAAAGGAGGAGAGAGCATACAATGGAGTCAAGACAGTCTCTTCAATAAATGATCTTAAGGAAATTGAACAGATACATGTAAAAAAATGAAACTAAACTACCAACTTACACCATACACAAGAATAAACTCAAAATGGCTAAAAGACTTAAATGTAAGTCGGGAAACCATAAAAATCCTAGAAGAAACCATAGGGAGTTTAATCTCAGACATTTCTAATAGCAATATGTTTGCAGATACATGTCCTAGGGCAAGGGAAATAAAAAAGAAAACAAAGAAATGTGAATACATCAAAATAAAAAAAAACTTCTGTACAGCAAAAGAAACCATCAACAAAATGAAAAGAAATTCTCTTTGCTAATGATACATCTGATAAAGGGTTAATATCCAAAATATATAAGGAACTCATACAACTTAACAAAAGGAGGACAAACATGCCATTTAAAAAATGGGCAAAGGACCTAAATTGTAAACTTCTCCAAAGTGGTCATACAGATGACCAAGAGACATATGGAAAAAAATGCTCTAATTCACTAGTCATCAGAGAAATGCAAATTAAAATGACAATGGTATCACCTCACACCTAACGGAATGGCTACCATCAACATATCAACAAATGACAAGTGCTGGTGAGGATGTGGAGAAAAGTGAACTCTAGTACACTGCTGGTAGGAATGCAGACTGGTGCAGCCATTATGGAAAACAGTATGGAGTTTCCTCAAAAAATTAAATATGGAAATGACATTTGACCAAGTGATCCCACTTCTAGGAATATATCTTAGCAAACTGGAAACACCAAACAGAAAGAATGTATTCACTTCTATGTTCATAGCAGTGCAATTTACAATAGCTAAGATCTGGAAACAGCCCAAGTGCCTGCCCATCAGTAGATGAGTGGATAAAAAAGCTGTATTATATTTACATCATGGAATACCATGCAGCAGTAAAAAAGAAGGAGACAGCATAGAGCAGTGATGGTGAACCTTTTGAGCTCGGCGTGTCAGCATTTTGAAAAACCCTAACTTAACTCTGGTGCCGTGTCACATATAGAAATTTTTTGATATTTGCAACCATAATAAAACAAAGACTTATATTTTTGATATTTATTTTATATATTTAAATGCCATTTAACAAAGAAAAATCAACCAAAAAAATGAGTTCACATGTCACCTCTGACACGCATGTCATAGGTTCGCCATCACTGGCATAGAGGGACCTGAAGAGGATTAGGCTAACTGAAATAAGCTGGTCAAAGAAATATAAGTACCATATGATTTCACTCATATGTGAAATCTAATGAACAAAATAGATCAAGAGACAGAGAAGCATGGACCAGACTGTCAAATCTCAGAGGGTAGGCGAGGGTGGGTAGGAAGATATCAACCAAAGAAATTGTATTTCCATATGCACAATCCATAGACACAGACAATAGGAAGGTGAAGGCCTGGGGTGAGCTAGAAGGGGTCAATGAGGAAAAAAGGGGGACATATGTAATACTTTCAAAAAATAAAGATTTAAAAAAGAATAAGGAAAAATAAATAATGTTTTCTAATGCTCTTTATAACTAATTAAGGCATTGTATCTAGACTAATAATGCTATCTGGATAATCACAGTCAAGTCAAATAACCAATATAACATTAAATATTTTATTAATAAATTAGTGTTAATAATTAATAATTTAAATGTTTATTATTAATATTGTTACTTTATTTATATTATTATTAAGATTATTAAAATAGTAAGCAATATTTTATACTTGATAGTTTACACAGAATACATACATGACTCTCCTCTTTAACTGCTCCTTCTAATTGAGCTGCAAATTGTGAACAACATACCAAGAATGAATTTAGATCATCCCCAACCTTTGAAAAGAATAACAAACAGAAAGTTGCTTTTATTTTAGAACCTGTATGTATGTTCATCTATATTTTAGTATATTTAACTAGTTTTCAAAATAATTTTGTGTATGTAATTTAGGTTAATTCAAACACATTAGGCAAGAAACCAGGCTCCAAATGCTATACTAGCAAATTCTCCCAGAAAATTTACAAGTACATTCTCGGGAGTGGCTCATTAATGTCATATTCCCAGTTATATCTCTGCTCTCATTTTCGTCTATCTAGTTGCAGAAAATCAAGCAACCCCAGCCTTAGACTCCTGAAATATTATGAATGGCCAAAAAAAGTAACTACTATGTATATACCTTATAAATATCTTTGTGTTTAAAAATGAATGATAAGTATGACTTCTGATTATAAAGTACACAGAGGTGGGCAAAAGTAGGTTTACAGTTGTTCATTTGGAAAAAAATATAATACAACAATAAATAATAATACAAGATTATGTACTCACAACTATAAACTTTTTTGCCCACGTGTGTGTGTGTGTGTGTGTGTGTGTGTGTGTGTGTGTGTGTTAAACTTTAAGGAAGTGTCATTGACAGAGGATGGAAAAATCAGTACACTATTTTTAAGTATCCTAAGTGGATCATTTTTAATGGATAAGGAATTTATACTGTAAACATATGTGAACACAAAAGAAAATCTTAGCCCTTTTCAGTGTTCATTTCTCTACATTAGAATTTGCATATACTTACAGATAAAGATACTTCTTCAGTTTCAGACTTTACAAGTGGTTTTTCTACATTTTCACTGCCCATTCCATAGGTTTCTTCCAAAGTAGAAACAACCTAAGAGAAAAAGCAAATTAAGTACATTTACAGTTTAAAATTATTACATTAAATGTAAAAATATATTAAATCAACCATGTCAGGACCTTTTTGGCAATAAGACTATTTCTGCCCAGCCAGTGTGTCTCAGCAGTTGAGCGTCGATCCAAAAACCAAAGAGGTCCCTGGTTTGATTCCTGGTCAGGGCACATGTCCAGGTTTCAGACTCAATACCCAGTGGGGGGACATGCAAGAGGCAGCCCATTGATGATGTTTCACTCTCACCAATGTTTCTATCTCTCTATCCCTCTCCCTTCCTCTCTCTCTAAAATCAGTAAAGGAAAAAAATTATTTTTGCCAGTACTCAAATTAAATTTTCCATCTTATGCCCCAGCTCATATCATCATGAAGAAGTCATGAGCAACAGTCCTTAACCCTACTTCCTAGCAAGAGAGGCCCTATGACTCTTCCATTTCTGTATTGACAGGTATTTAAAAAGGAGAGTTTCTGCCTAGGCATAGCTGAAGCATCAACTTTACTTTACCACCGATGTATTCCTAAAAATTTAACTGACTCAACTTTCTTCTCTGGAGAGAGTAGGGAAAATAGAGAGATGGAAATCAGAAAGCAGTACATTTTTTAAAGCATCAGTCGCCAACCTTTCAGACCTCACAGACCACCAGTGGTCTGCAGACCACCAGTTGGCAACCACTGTTTTAAAGGAAATTATCTGAATTAACCCCTCAAACTTTGAGCAAACTTACATTTTGGAAGTTTGGCAAACTATATTTTTTTATGTTTGTGCTATTCCTCATTTTTTCAGTGTTTATATGAATGGTATTTGGTACATTTATAATTTAACTAGAGGCCCAGTGCACGGATTCATGCACATTGAAAGAAATTAATTAGAAGGTGGCCAGCAGGGTAGGACTGGGCGAGACGGACCAGACATGCCCTGGAGCCAACCTCCCACGGTCCCTCCCCGGCTGGCCGCACCAGAGGCAGCACCAGGGCTTGAAGGGCATCTGCAAAGTGAGCAGGGTCCCTCCAGCAGGTGGGGTCTTCAGCCTGGCCTGCGGGGATCGGGCCGAAACTGGCAGTCTGACATCCCCTGAGGGGTCCTGGAGTGTGAGAGGGCACTCTGCAAAGTTGCTGTTGCTCAGCAGCTCCTGGGTTGAACATCTGCCCCATGGTGGTCAGTGTGCATCATAGCTACCAGCCAGTCAGCCAGTCGCTTAGCCTTTTATATATATAGATTCTGGATCATTGAGCAAAAAGAACCCCATAGAAAGGGAAATTTATTTCCCAACACCAAGAGCTAAAGTTTCTAAAGTGCAGAGATGAGGTGACAGAGCAGGCATGAGACTTCAAAAAACCTATCCCTAAAAAAAGATCTGTATGCATCTCAGAACATGGATTTCAGAAGGGTTCCCACCATTCACTAACTGATCTGTCCCTACACTGTTTGTACAAACAATAACTAATGTTAACACCTGCTTTCCTCCAGGGAGTCTGGAATTTGATACATGATAGGCAGAGAGTATCTAGGTGATCAAGCCCCAATAAAACCCTGGGCACTGAGTCTTCAAGGAACTTCTCTTGTAGACATTTCATATGTTTTGTCACAATTTGTTGTTGGAGGAATTAAGACATGTTCTGTGTGACTCCAAAAGGAGAGGACTCTTGGGAGTTTGTACCTTGTTTCCTCTAGACTTCACCAATGTGCCTTCTCCCTTTGTTGGTTTTGCTTTGTATTCTTTCACTATAATAAATTTTAACCATCAATATGACTATATGCTGAACCCAGTGAGTCCACCCAGCATATCACTAAACCCAGAAAAGGTCATGGGACCCTCCACACAAGAACAAACAAATGACTTACCATCTTTAGATGTTTGGTAATTTTTCTGAGCAATTCATCTTCTGCTATTAATTCCTTTGTCTTACTTGATGGAATGGGCAAAGCATACCTCACAACAGATTCTCCTGTTGGTGGAGATCTTAAGACCATTGGTTCAATTTTCTCACGCACTAACTTTGAACTTTGTTTTTCCTTTGGTTTAGGTGACAATGGTGAATTATGAAATCCTTTGTTGTAACTTAATTCTGGAACACTTGCCAATTTATTATTAGAGGGCAACAGATGCTTTACTGGCTTCATTTTGTTATTTACTTAACTTCCAAATTATAGGTGAAAAATTTTATTCCTTCCTGAGAATAAAAGATAAAGATTTCAGATTAAAAATGATGGCAGGATTATTTATTGCCATAAAGATGTTAAATCCCCAAATCAATTCTGGAGAAATTAAAAAATGAAAATGGCAACATCCCTAACAAAAATTAATATTTTTTTAAATCTAAAATATTTGCAAATCAATAAACATGATACATCGTATAAAGAAACTGAAAGAAAAAATCATACGATCATATCAATAGATGCAGAAAAAGCATTCAACAAAATCCAACACCCTTTTTTGATAAAAACTCTCAGCTAAGTGGGAATAGAGGGATCTTATGTCAACATAATGAAGGCTATATATGACAAACCTACAACCAACATCATACTAAATGGGCAAAACCAAAAACTACTCCCTCTAAAGACAGGAACAAGACAGGGATGTCCACTTTCACCACTCTTATTCAACATAGTACTGGAAGTCCTAGCCAGAGCCATCAGGCGAGGAGAAAACATAAAAGGCATCAATATTGGAAAGGAGGAAGTAAACCTGTCATTATTTTCAAATGACATGATACTGTACATAGAAAACCCCAAAGACTCCACCAAAAGGTACTAGATTTAATAAATGAATTAAGCAATGTAGCAGGATACAAAATTAACACCCAGAAATCTAAGGCATTTTTATACACCAATAACAAATTCTCAGAAAGAGAAACTAAAAAAATAATCCCATTTACCACTGCAACAACAACAAAAATATGATACTTAGGAATAAACTTCACGAAGGAGGTAAAAGACTTGTACTCTGAAAACTATAGGACGTTGAAAAAGAGATAGAGGAAAATATAAATAAGTGGAAGAATATACCGTGTTCGTGGATTGGTAGAGATAACATCATTAAAATGTCCATACTACACTAAGCAATCTATAGATTCAATGCAGTCCCCATCAAAATACCAACGGCATATTTCAGAGATCTAGAATAAACATTCCAAAAATGTATGTGGAACCAAAAAAAGACCCCACATAGCCACAGCAATTTTGAGAAAGAGGAACAAAGTGGGAGAGATCATAATACCAGATATCAAGTTATACTACAAAGCCACTGTAATTAAAACAGACCAGTGCTGGCACAAGAACAGGCATATAAATCAATGGAAGAGAAAAGAGACCCCAGAAATTATGGACTCAAGCCACAATGCTCAATTAGTATTTGACAAAGGAGGAAAGAGCATGCCATAGAGTCAAGACAGTCTCTTCAATAAATGGTGTTGGGAACATTGGACAGATACATGCAAAAAAAAAAATGAAACTAGACCACCAATTTATACCACACACAGGAATAAATTCAAAATGGGTAAAAGACTTAAATGTAAGTCGGGAAACCATAAAAATCCTAGAAGAAACCATAGGCAGCAAAATCTCAGACATCTCTTGCAACAATATGTTTACAGATACATCTCCTAGGGCATGGGAAACAAAAGAGAAAATAAAGAAAGGAGACTATCAAAATAAAAAGCTTTTGCACAGTAAAAGAAACCATCAACAAAATGAAAAGGTAATCCACTGTATGAGAGGACATATTTGCCAATGATACATTTAATAAGGGTTAATATCCAAAATATATAAGCAACTCATACAACTTAACAAAAAGACTAACAATCCAATTAAAAAATGGGCAAAGGACCCAAATAGATACTTCTCCAAAGTGAACATACAAATAGCCAAGAGACATATGAAAAAATGCTCAAAGTCACTAATCATAAGAGAGATGCAAATTAAAATGAAAATGAGACATCATCTTGCACCTATCATAATGGCTAACATCAACAAATCAACAAATGACAAGTGCTGGTGAGGATGTGGAGAATTAGGAACCCTAGTACACTTCTGGTAGGAATGCAGACTGTTGCAGCCATTGTGGAAAATAGTATGGAGTTTCCTTCCAAAATTAAAAATGGAACTGACATTTGACTAAGTGATCCCACTTCTAGGAATATATCTTAAGAATCCCAGAACACCAATCAGAAAGAATGTATGCACCCCTATGTTCATAGCAGCACAATTTACAATAGCTAAGATCTGGAAACAGCCCAAGTTTTCATCAGTAGATGAGTGTATAAAAAACTGTGGTACATTTACACCATGGAATACTATGCAGCAGTAAAAAAGAAAGATCTCTTACCCTTTGAGACAGCATGGATGGACCTGGAGAGGATTATGCTAAGTGAAGTCAGCCAGTCAAAGAAAGATAAGTATCACATGATCTCACTCACGTGTGGAATATAATGAACAGCGACACAGAAGCATGGAAGAAACTGTCAAATCTCATAGGGAAGGTGGGGTGAGTAGGAAGATATTAACCAAACAACTTGTATGCATATAAGTATAACCTATGGACACAGACAATAGTGTGGTGAAGGGCAGGGGCAGAGAGTGGTGTGGGCTAGAAGGAATCAATTGGGTTGGGGGAGGGACATCTGTAATACTTTCAACATTTTTAAAAATTTAAATTTAAGTTAAAAACAAAACAAAACAAAACACCTGTAAGAAACCCTGAGAGGTGACTGAAGATTGATTTATGTATGGGCACAAAGGATGGGGGCTGATGGGAGGGAAGAAGCCAGTAGTAGCAGTGAGAGAATATATTAAGAAAACTTTAAAATATTATTCTTAGCTTTCCCCCATTTTTAAGCTAATGTATACCCTTTATATTAGTCCCATAGAAGTAATATCTTAGGTACAGGGTATGAACAGATTAATATCAAGGCAGCACCAAATCATGATTGAGCAGACCTTAAAGCTTAAGACTGGCTCTACTTCTCTTTCTCTCTAAAGCTGATTAAGACTCAACACAGTAAGTCCTCCCAAAGAGTTTTTGTTGTTGTTGTTATTGTTTTTTAGGCAAAGGGGAGAAAGGAGTCAGCCCTCAGCCCCTCTGGGAAAGGGTCTGAGTCTGCCGCTACCCAACCAGGTTCCCGTCCCAGCCTGTGGCCCGAAGGCCCTTGCAGGTTGGGGAGGAGGCAGGAGGCGTTAGTCACTGAGGAAAATGGAAGCCAACACTGCCATGGTGCCAAGGTTTCTCCCCACCTCCTCCCTCCCTGCCACCACGGGATGGCGGTAAGGACTGGGCAGTCCTCCCAAAGAATTTTAAAGTATGTACCTGACCATGGAAGTAGACTGTCAAAATTTAGACTAGTCCCATTGTTGTGGGTTGAATTGTGTCCCCCAAAAAGATATGTTCAAGTCCTAACTCTTGGCACCTGTGACTATGACCACATTTAAAAATACAATCTTTGCATATGTAATCAAGTTAGCATGAGGTCATAGTGGATTAGGGTGGGCCCAAAATCCAATGACTGGTGCCATATTCATAAAGAAATGTGAAGACACATGCATAAAAACAAACAGGGAAGAAGGCCAAGTAATGACAAATGCAGAAACTGGAGTGGCACCGCTGTGAGCCAAGGAATGTTAAGGATTGCCAGCATCCACCAGAAACTAGGAAGAAGCAGGGGATGATAGCCCTGCCAATACCTTGATTTCAGAATTCTGTGCTCTGGAACTGTGAGAGAATTAATTTATACTGTTTTAAGCCACCCCGTTTGTGGTACTTTGTCATGCCAGCCTTAGGACACTAATACATATGCTGATGGAAATAATTAAACAGAAAGCAAAATGTATGCGTGGTAGAGGGGACAATTGCTGGACTGATATCCTTGAGCAAACAAGAAGAAATGGGTTTTAAAGCACAAATGGATCAACTCGCTTTAGATGGGCACAGGAAAAGTTTACCTACAGTAACAGACCGGAAGGCAGAAATATGGGCTATTTCCAGAAACCAGTGAGGGAAGAATGGGACACTCCCCAGGTGCTAGAAAATCACCTCAAAAATGGATCCATGAAGTTCACATTAATACAAAAGTTACATGCGGTGAATGCTTATATTCATTTAAACCCCTCCTAACAATTCTAGGAGGTTGACATTATATCACCATAAACTAGCCCAAGTTTATCAGTCACTTTCCACCACAAAGACAAGTGTTTTCTGGCTTTCCTTCGAGGGTTAATTTGATATTCATTTCAAACCATAATGATCCAGCATACAAA